TCACTCCTCATCTCTCGCTCCTCTATCTTTCATTCCTCATCTTTCGCTCCTCTATCTTTCACTCCTCATCTCTCGCTCCTCTATCTTTCATTCCTCATCTTTCGCTCCTCTATCTTTCACTCCTCATCTCTCGCTCCTCTATCTTTCACTCCTCATCTCTCGCTCCTCTATCTTTCACTCCTCATCTCTCGCTCCTCTATCTTTCACTCTTCATCTCTCGCCCTTTTATCTTTCACTCCTCATCTCTCGCTTTTCTATCTTTCACTGCTCATCTCGCGGCCTCTCCCCCTCGCTCTAACTACGTGTACGAGATTTTTCTGTTACGTGTGTTTTCGCCGTGTTTCTGCCGCGTGCCGCAGCATTCTGCTACCCGCAATTATAACTAGACGATACTAGTATATATATATAGCGGCTCCTTCTAACTCATCTCTATCTCAAGCTCTACTTGTCAATGTCCTCGAGTGGCAGCGGCAACGAGACGAGGTTGTCAATGACGCACATAATCGCAATTCCTTTGCGACGATCCAATCACGTTTATTTTCAATTGGAAAAAAGCGATTTTTGTTGGTCGGCTTGCCGTTGATGATTAGTCGACATCGCCTGCCGCACAGCCGGCGCATGCGTGGTACGAGCGCGCGGATCATGCGTCGGCAATCTCATCCCGTGTGAGCGGCGACGGTCGGTCGGCAGGCATCTGGCTTTCTTCTCGGTCGTTTTTGCTCGAGTCAGCGCGAGCATTTCGTCTTCGTCGATTTCTCCCGCATGGTGATACAGGTTGCTTTCTCTCTCTCTCTCTCTCTCTCTTTGCGTGCGTGACTGATTGGGAGCGTTCTATTGATAATAACTACTATACTATATAAACTATATTCTATTGATTGTGTTTTATTTCTAGTATAGACATGCTATTACGTTTCCTGCCACATGTTTCTGTGTTTTGTTGTTTGTTTCAGCATGCAGTGCAGCCCAATATACGCAGCTGTCTGCTCTCACGAAATCCTATTACCGAGATCCTACACCAAGATCCTCTTACCGAGATCCTATTATCCTATTACTCAACGGCTAACAAGCGTCTCACTGACATCTACGTTCGCTAGCACTTATATAATAGTCAACCAAGAATATAATATACCTAATAGTCAGTTATATTATAGGCATTTATATAATAGTCGACATTAATCCAACTAACTGCGATAAATGCGCAGAAACATAGGCAACACGCAAGGCAAACTCTGAGCTGCTAACGAATAAACAGCCAGCACCAACGTCGTCAAGCTATACGAGGCTCTTGTATAATTTCGGAGTAAACATGTCGCGTTGTGCGAGACCTGCTAGGCTACGTACGACTTGCATACGTGGCGCAGGTAACCATCCGCCGTCTGATTACCAGTAAAGTAATTAGCCGGCAGTTCATGTGAGGTGTCTGGCCAGAACGAAACATCAGAACAATAAGTGTTGCCTTATATAGGGACGTTTATATTCTAACAGCGGTGTTTCTCAATCTACAGAACGGGGGACGTAAAGGAAGCTCTTTGTCAGAGACCTCATGAATTGTAACGAATATCGTCAATGTAAAATATAGTAACTTACACGACAAGCTCATTATCAGAAACAACAACAATATTCACGACTATATTGAGTCGAGATTGGCATAATTTTTGCGCAACTCTTCGTGCAAAAGCTTTCGTAATTCTTTTTCGTTGCGAACGTTTCAACGTGCGCTGACTTCCTGATATCATAGCCATTCCGGATGTTTCTGAAAACGCCCCTCCCCCGTTTTATACCAACACTAGGTCATCTTTTAGACCTCTTCGGTATTTTTGCCTCCGTGGGTGGTTGAAAATCAACGTCATCATTTGTGAAATGTAAATCATTCGGATCAACGCAGGTATAGTGACTTATGCAAAAAGGCTTGTAATCTGTCAGAAACGTTACACGTAACGTACGTAACAACACTACGTAACCTGACTGGACAAAACCCCCGTTCTGCGCCTTGATCGTTAGCGTGCGCACAAATAACTCCTTCTCTCTCGCCCCTTTATCTTTCACTCCTCATCTCTCGCTCCTCTATCTTTCACTCCTCATCTCTCGCTCCTCTATCTTTCACTCCTCATCTCTCGCTCCTCTATCTTTCACTCCTCATCTCTCGCTCCTCTATCTTTCACTCCTCATCTCTCGCTCTTCTATCTTT